GCATCAATCGGTACTTTTTACCAACAAAACTCCATTATCATACAGCATTTCTAAAAGGCGGAAATTAAGAAACCTCTGTAAACAAAAAGTCCTTGAAACATTTCGTCGTCGTAGTCTGCACTTTAGATCGCCCCTCCTTCCCTTTTTGTTGGCGTGACAATTGCCTTGTTAAACATTTAGCTCCAAGTGAATCAGCCTAAAGATAAGAAAAAAGTAGTTGAACAAAAGGAACAGCAATTAAAAACACGCAAATCTAACAAAATCGCTTGTCAAACCGCAAAACAGTCGACCCATGAATACCATCAAGTAGCTTCTAAAGGAACTTGTGAAGAGTTTTTGGAAAACTTAAGAAGCAACAGACAAACATGAATTGACTTGTTCCAAAAATTAATTACCCTTGTCTTCAAGACATCGTTAAGTTCTTGGTTCTCCTTTTCCAGTACAGCCATTCTTGTAGCTTGGAAAGAAGTTTTTTGTCCTTTCCTAACATCGGTCATGGTAAGCAGTCTTCCAGGCGGCTTAGAAGAACTAAAACTTGCACAGTTCTCGAATTTAGAAGCCACAATTATACAAATTAAGAAACGAAGATTAAAAGGATTACCGGCACGTACTGATAGTCGTTCCATTGCTCAAAGTGCTCAGAAATCCTTGTTTTTTAAACTTTTTTGGTGGCAGAGAATTCAAGCTGTTGAAAACCCCTCTGCGTGCTGCGAATTTATTTGCGCATGCTTCAATATGAAATGCGCACCGGTCACTTAAAGAAGTGTTAACAAAATTACGACAGTTCTCGCCGTCTTTCCTCCTACCCTAAAACAAAATGAGATAATGAACATTCTATGTTTAACATCTACAGAAAAATATTTTCACAGCCAACACATGGAGAAATTGTTACAACTTAAATTATCAAAATGTTTGTTTTTCGAACCGATTCCGCAAAACAAAACTGCAACAGTGTCTAACCTTGCAAAAGCCAAAATCCGGACAAATGCCCAGCGTCAGAAGTTGACTGGGTTTTGAAAGCTTCAAGACGGCTAAAAAAGTTTTTAGAAAGTAGATAAGCCACCGGCGAAAGGTTTACACAAAATTGCCTACTCGTCATATCATTTCGAGAACCAACTTGATCACCATACGCTGGAGACAATAAAGCAACCGCAGTAGAGATTTGAACTTTCCAATGTTCCTTGAAACAATCACCGAAGATAAACACTCTAATTGGTCGGCTTTGACAGTTCTGAAAGTAAAAGCAATCCATTTAAATATAATACACATAAACAACTCAAGCTCTACAATAACCGTGAGAAAAAAAACATGCCCAGAAAACTATACAAACAAAATCCAATAAAAAAAGATCCATTAGTTCCCTAAATTTGGATAAAGTAATTCTATTTAAACAATACATTTGAAGAACTACCATGAGATCACCCAGCGATAAAAACATATATTCATTGCCGTTTGACGTCTTACGAAAATCACTCTTCCCAACAACGACTCCCAAAGTTACCCAATCTTCAGAAGGCGGCTTTAATTAACTTGTTGTTAATTATGTTGATATTCACATACATATAGTATACATAAAACTCAGAAGTACATTATCCCTCGCTACGTACCGATTTAGACTTTAACTCACTGGGGCGCATCTTCTTCATGCCCTCAATAAAAGCATTGAATGTTGAAGAGGAAATCTTGGGATTCCTGCAAAAGTGAACGAGTTGTATTTATGTAAAGAACCTAAAATCATTGCTCAAAACCACACTAAACATCAATAAACATGAAATACAATAAAGCTACTTACCTTATACGTATGCCGAAATAACTGTCAAAACTCTCCATCGATTCTGCAACAGAATCCTCGATAGCTTTACTGATTCGTTGAGCCTTTGTTTGAAATATTTTTCGTACATCCGCTTCCTCTGAAAAACTACGCCTCACCTGCAGAATGACGAGAAAGTTGAAGAATTCCTAATCCATGACTAATATTTACTTCTAATAAAAGATGTTTGAAGAAGCAAAAACACTATCAAATACTCTTCAAAACTATTAAGTAATAAAATGAACAATAAGAAATACTACTAGATTTAGGCAGAGGTGTAGGGGATTTAACTGAAGTTTCTCGTACTTGTCTAGGAGTGGACAACTTCTCGTTGACTTTTGGAGTGCTGTCCACATCTGTACAAGATCCACCTGCATCTAAAATTCTTTTAAGTCTACATCAGTTTCTGCTTAACGTTACGGCACTTGACTGACTATTCCCGTCCATGTTACAAATAGCACATCGTCTTGCAAAAAGCTTCAAAACGACCAAACAAATGGTTGCACATTAAATTTCTGATTTAATATTTTTGAAACCCAATAGAATTTCTTCTTATAATTGAAGACTTTAATACGTCAAGACAATTTTAAAAGCAATAAAATTTAGACCTATTTCAATTAGTAAATTTGAATAATATTCATCTACCAAAGCTTCAGTTACAGTTCAAATGATCAATCTAAAAAAATCGCGACTACTTTCAAATTGAGTTTTATCAGCCCAAGATACATCATCGGCTGCTGTTACAAATGAACCATCATCAGCTGCTGTCATAAAAGAACCATCATTTTTCGATTCTTGTTCGTCATCTATAAGCAATGTATAAGCGCACATGATGTTAATTCCATACGTAAATAAATGTTTTCTTTGTTTTTACTTGTACTTTCACCTGACCCCCTAGTAGTTCAAAGTAACTTCTTGAGGATATGAAAATTAAGCTTCAAAGAACTGGTAATTTCTAAAATACCTTCAAAATTTAGATGAGACAGAACTTCATTCAATTCACCCATGGATGAGACAGTTTCTGCGTAATGTATAGCACTGAAAAATTATCGCAAAACTATCAATTGGAAGACATCGTACCAAAATAGCAAAATCGGGACTCCAATCAAAAAAGCCATTTCCAAAATACATTTTCATCTTCGTAAGATCAAATACTCCAAGTGGTGTATTTACAAAACACCCTTGCGCATAAACAAAATTGGCATTTTCCAATAAATCTATCAGAAAAAAATGTAATGAAAAAGAGTTTCTCGATTGTATCAGCCTCAAAAAAAAAAAAAAGATAGACTACCAGTCAACAGTAAACCGAGTGTCTCAACAGACCCTCTGAAATTACTACCGAAAACTCAACGACGTGTCCAAAGTACCAAATCGGTCGCCCTATTCTATGTCCGTGCTGTTTGCCCAAAATAAAACCTGTACCTCTCCCTCCCAGTTTTGAGAATGACATGTGTTGCTTTTTCGCGCGGAAAAAACATTTAAAAATTAATTCTGGCTAGATTCCATTAGCGCGAACCTTTATAATTCTAAAATCATTTGCAGAAACCCGCTTTTCTCGGACCGTTCATACCTGATCTTGTGCTGTCCAAGTTGCACGCTAAAAGTTACTTCATGTGATTTCTTTTTTTATCTCTGCTCGATGACATTATAAATAGGACTCGATGGTATCATGAAGTCAAAGTTGGGTTTCTGCTTTGATCTTAAAGAATTCTTCGTTTAGCAAACTGAACTCTAAATTATTGGACCCATATGATAACCAAAAAAAGATACCTCTATGAAACATAGATTTGCCATCGTTAAAAAAAGATACTGCGGAGATGAAAAAAATTTTTGCAACTATAAACTGATCACTGAAGTCAAAATGAACCAGGGAACAAATAGAACTACAAAGACTTTTGAAACGGTATTTTAAAATTGGGGTTCAGTGACGATAAAACATTTGGACCTACATAATCATAACCTGATTCTAATTGATAATGCTTAGAAAAGTTTGATTTTTTTATTGGGAATCAGGTTTTGCTACTTTAACGGAAGAAAATTAATTGTGCAACGTGAGTGTTCTCCAGAATCATACATAACCCTAATTGCAAGTAAAAAAAGATGGAATCTCCAGCTTTTCGGGACTGTCTCTAAATATACAAGTGCAGACAAGCAGCACCGTACCAAGGAATATTTAGATTAAATCTTCACCGACCTCCTCAAGAATAGTACTGTGTGAAAACTGTTCAACAGATATCTCTATCAACAATGAATACCGCAGCAACAAAAATCAAATGTTATTTGAACCATGTCCGCCAAGTATATTTTAAATGAATTTTCAATGAGTTTTCAAAATTTGCATGGAACTTGAGGAACAAGTTGGATGACAGTTCTTGGAATGTTATCAAAAAAATAACTGTTGTCGCTTCAAGAGTCATCAAAAGAAAGGAAGGTGAAGTCTTGAAGTGCACTGTAATTGGTGTAAATGGCGT